TCTCGCCAAAGCCACCGCAGCAGTGGGGACGTCCCCGGGAAGCCCTCGGACAAGGCAGCTCTGTGGGACCGCGGCCGGGTGCCCCACTCAAGCCATCGCGGTGCCGAGCAGCAGCACCCCAGGGTGCACAAGAGAGCTGTAGCCACGTGTTTGCCACCGAGCAGTGCGAAGGAAGTAAATGAAGTCGTGTTCTTCCAAGGCAAACACACAGAAGGCAAAAACTTAGAAGGATCCTCTTTGTACCCTCATTACTGCAAGCTCCAAACTCATTATGGTTTTGGCCGCAAACTGCACCCTTGTGAAGACGCTCAGGGCAAACAGGACGAACGGCAGGACGCACGGCTGTGCGGTAGGGCTCTGCAGGCCAGCGGCTGCCGTCCTGTGCAGCAAACAGGCTTCCACGGTGCGAGTGGGATCTGACGTCCCACACAGCGCGTGATAATCGGGAGAACCGTCTACGACTCCAAGAACGACATCTTGCCTTGGTGAACGCCGCAGGATGCAGGAGGACAGTCTGCTGAGCATGAGAGGGACGAAGGTCATTTTGCCAGCCTCGTACTAACCGTCTGCAGAGTGCTCCGGGGGAAAACCCTCACTTTACTCCGCCTCAGCTGTGCCAAGACCACGCTGCCCGCGTGAACTGAGCAAGCTGAAGTCAAGGTTCTCCCCAGCAGCAAGCCGGCCACTTCACCATCACAACAGACTGCACTGGAGTGTCTACTGAATGCGTTCCTTCGATCCTGCACGCACCTTGTTGAAGTAAGCCTACTAAACCCACACGCTTGGTCTGGGTGAGGAGAGCAATACGTGGCTTTGACAAGGGACGTTTCTTTGGGGCAGAAGAAGAACAAACGCTGCCAGGTTTCGCTATAAAATGTGCGCCTGCAAGAGTGACCACACAGAAGGGACAAGCAACGGCAAGGCCGACCAGAAGCTTCCAGGAAGTCGAACAGGCTCTCTTGCACAGCCTTGGGGATTTTCAAAGCCCTCGTCCTCTCGTTAACCACTGCTGGCATCGGTTTTCCCCAGAAATAAATCTGAAAGGCTTCGACGAAATAAGAGACGTGAAGATGCAGCTGATGCGAAGAACAACTTTATTCGTGTGTAAAGCAGCACACCAGAGCAAACCAGTGTCAGGGAACAGGCACCTCTTTCCAGGACAAAGCACTCCATACCCCTTCGGCTGTGACGCACACCGAGCCAAGGCCGCAGCAAGGGGCCCGAGAGGGCTCTCGTGCCAGGGAAGACGATCCAGGAGCAGCCTGGCTGGCGAACAGGAACTCGCCGGACCGAGCACTTCACTTTCTGCCGAAGGCCCTGTGCGCAGAGCACGTTTCTGCACCTCAGCGATGGCCCTGGGCTCTGCCCTCTGCATCACGCCCGGCACCGCTTTGCCCGGAAAACACGCCACGTGTCTCTGCTCACTGGTCTGCCTGAACCAAACCCTCGCAACAAGGCAGAGCTGCCGTAGCCCAGCTTAGCAGAAATCCAGACTCCAGCAACGAGCGGGCACCCCCAGACCCAGCTGCCCTACGCTCTTTCCTAACGGCCGCACTACAGCAGAGAGAGGACGGGGGTCTTTCGCCTGGCGCCTAGGCCCGGATGTCCGAGCTGGAATCTCCAGAAGGGAAGCGGATGACACGGGCAAGGCAAGGCCCGTTGGGTTCCTTTCCAAAATCCACCAGGAAGTTCTTGTTCACGGTCAGGCCTCCTTGCTCAGTGTCCACATCCAGCTGCAGCATGACCGCGACCTGACAGAGCCTTCCCTGCCAGGGGACAAGAGCGCAGCCATTACAGACAGGCAAACCACCGTCCTGTTCAAGAGATCCTGCCCTTCGCCCTCCTGTCCCGCATCGAGGGAGAGGCTTCCTTTCTCCCTTCACATCTTGTCTTCGACGGGGAGCAGGGAGCGCAGGCTCAGCTTCAGCTTTTCTCCTGAATTCTCACTGGAGGTGAGCAAACGGCTACGCACGACGTGACGGCCCGGCTGGACCTTGCGTTTGTGTTGGAGAGCACCGTCTGCTTTGCTAAATCAAAGCGTCACCGCTGGGTGCATGGGGGGAACTTGCAGCAGAGCCTGGCCGGGCTCTCAGAGACCCACGGACGGATTCATGCCACCACCAGACCCAAACACTTCTGCTCTCCCAAGCAAAACCCTCGCACTGCAGCTCTGCACGGGCAGCTGCTGCCCCTTGCCCGGCCAGAGAAGTCTGTGAGTCAGCCGCATGGGCAACTCAACGCGAGGAAGCTGTGGGGATGGCGTCAGGAAAACACGTCCCCCTGCCATCACAAACGCGCCCTTGCAGCCCCCCAGACGAGGCACAGTTCCTGTTTCTAGCAGAGAGGCCACGCACAGAGGCCCTTTGCCTCCCCAGCGTTTCTTACTTGACCAAGTTCGGGTAGAACTGCTTGTCCCACGAGCTGTAGAAGGAGTTGGTGACGTACAGCCTCTTGCCATCCACGCTGAGCTGCATCTTACTGGGGCCGCCGTACACCCTCTTGCACTGAAGGCACAACAGACAGCAGTGATGCTCCTGGCTTCTTTCTTACAGCAGCCAAGCACAAGCAGCCGCAGCGCAGCAGAGCACGGCGCAGCAGAGCCGGGCGGCTGCCTCCCGGCCCCTCCTAATGCAGGCAAGCTACCAGAGGCTGCAGACGCACGGGCCACCGCTCTGGAGAGCTTCCCCAGAAACCCCGGGCAGAGCACGAGCACAGCCGAAGGCCAAAGGACACCGGCGGGCAAAGGCGACGCAGAACTCACCTTCACCACCAAGGGCTCCGGCTGGCACTTCAGCTCTTCGTCTCTGCACACAGCCACGGGTCCACCCCGGAGGATGCTGCCGCCCACAAACACCTGCAGGCCAGGCAGAGGGAGACCGGGGGCCTTGTCAGCCAGCCACCACCAGGTCCTGCTAAGGAACCCGGCGGGGCAAGCCCTTCTGCTCCTGCCTTACCTGTCCCACCAGCCTGGGCTTGCAGGTCTTGCACAGCTCGTACTGGCGGATGTCTCCGTGCAGCCAGTTGCTGAGATACAGGTACCTGTCGTCCTTCGAGATGAGCAGCTCGACCGTGAAGGCTGGGGCACAGAGACAAAGAGCTCCAGAGAAGGCAGCCCCAGCAGACAGCCGGCCTTGCACCCAGCCCAGCCCGCGTCTCTCCCCGCCATTCTCTCCGTCGTGCCCCCAGCATGGGAGAGCTGCCCAGGAGCACTCGGGGCAGCACCGAGGGTCTTCTCGGGGCTGTGCACAGCCCCAAAGCCCCTCCAACAAGCCTTCCGTCGCGCCTACCCAGCAAGGCTTTGGGGCTCAGCCAGCGGGCTCTGCCAGGCTGCACCACGCAACGCTGTGGGAGGAGAAAGGAAACGCCACCTCGGGGCACACCAACCTGGCATCTTGGGCATAATCCATCCCGTCACCTCCTTGGCCGGTATCCGAATCACCTCTTCCACCGCCCAGTTCTCTCTCTGTACAGGAAACACAGGCGCCGCACCATGAGCGCTCCGGGCTGCTCGGCCAAGAGCACTCCCCTGCACTCACACGCTGGCACAGCTGGGCACAGCTGCCCAAGGAAGGCTGCCACTGCACCCCGCTGCTGCGAGCACACACAACGAAGGACAATGCTGTGTGATACCAACAGCGAGCCTGGGCTTCACCGCTCCAATTAATGCCCCAGGGGTTCATCCCAGCTGGGCACACTCCGTGGAAGAGCAGACTCCTCTCATTCTAGCACACATGGTCAAAGCAGGACACCGCCCTCTCCACACACCCCTTCGGTCTCTCCGCTACCCCAGATCTCTTCCGTGCGCTCCTCCATCCCCCCGCAGCTCCCCGTGGCCGGGTCGGCCCCGGCTGCTGGCAGAACACTTGCCTCGCACTTGTAGAAGCGGTAGACGACGCCGCTCAGGGCACAGCTGACGTATCCCTCGGCAGCATCGGGGTTGTGCAGGAATTTGACACTCAGGGGCAGAGAGTCCTCCCCCAGGTCAAAGCACTGGGTGAGGCTGCGGCAGGACAAGTTCCACACGTTCAGGTGGCGCCCAAAGACCCCTGAGCAAAAGGAACAACAGAGTCAGAAGAGGGGCTGCTCCCTGGG